ACACTTTTGCTGCTTTTTTCTATTTCTATTGGATAACCGTCAGAGAAATGAAATCAGATTCATAAAATCTCTTCTTAATCTGTGAATGAATTTATCAGTTTTAGAACAACAAACTATCTATTTGAAGAATTTAACAATCCCTCATCTTGTCATTTCCCAAATAGGGAAACCCATTTATTATATATTTACTATTGACTTTACACATCATCCAAATTTTTTCCGGTTTATTCGGTATATTATGTATAAATCCTACACCTACATTTCGACGGAAACAACTCCGTAAAATAACATTATTTAGAATGAAGAAAATATTATTAGCATATTGTAAGAATTATCATATAGTTTGATAACGCTATTTTAACGTTTAAAAATGTCTAATAATAAGTTGTACACAAAGTTTGAAACAGTCAGTTTGACCGGCGTTGGTAGGTTTAATGTTAACTATCTCAAGAAAAAAAAGTTAGAGAAATTTTACTTTATTAATGTGCTTATCAAACTGTTTAATTTATTAGGTATTAGGTCTATCAAGAAATATATACGTGATAAGTACATTATACATTATGTGTATAGCTAAATGTTTATCAAAAGCCAATAAATAAAAAAAAATCTTACCTATCTTACTTAGATTATCTTGAATTTTGCATTATCGCATTGTGTACTTTGCCATTTAGATTATATTTAATTAGTTATCGCTGATATAAATAGATAATATGGAGTATGAAAACATTTTATAATTTCGGCGTAATTAAGTTTTGTATTAAATGTGTTACATCCAAAATACATACAAAAATTATATAGTCGGCCGAGAAATTTCTATCTAGCTGTAATTTATAACCCAAATTAATAAAGTATAAGTTCGGTTATCAGACTGACAGCTTAATATGTTAGCTGACGCAATTTATGCCTCGAAACAATTAAAATGTTAATCTTGCAATAACACAATAAAAGTCCATTAACGTTATCATTTTAATCATTAACATTAATCACTTCTTATTCATTTTTATGCATTTTCAAACTTCTGCTTCCATGCTTCCTGGTCCTGTGCTTCGACTTTTATTTCCCTTTATTTTTTAATTCTCGCGTAAGTCATTAATCGTCTGCATTCCTCATCTGCCCAATCATTTCAGTCCTATTTTACATTCGATGGCATCGTGCAACAGGCACTCTTTTTTCATAATGGGCCCGATCCAGATTTATTTTCTTTTCAGGATCGTATTCAGTAGAGTTCTTTCTTCGCCTGCTCTTCCCAGCACTTCTTCATTGGTTATTTTGTCTGTCCACTAGCACTACATTTCAAAAATCTCCATATAATTTTTGTCGGCCTCTCTTGGAGTCCGTATCTCTGTTACTTTGTTAGTCTGCTTTATGAAAAGTGAAGTAATTGCGAGAAAATATGAAACCACAAAAGCAACAATTAGACCTCGAAAATTTAGTTAACACACCTAGTTTTCTTACTGTCTAGTAAATTAATATCAAACTAGTTGTGTCATTTTGGCCTTAAGGCAAGTAGCATTCGGTTAGTATAAATAGAATTTATGAAATGATCTCGACAAATGACTTTGATGTGTTTTGTACAATCTAGTTACTACGATTAGTTTTGGCAAGTGAATTGATTATTTACAGCAAACGAGTCAGAATTCTTCGAATTCTAATAATGTCGCCGGGTTATCTGAATCGGAATCACTTGTTGTCATACACCCAACTCCTACTCGTACATTGGTGCCGGTGTCGGTGCTGGTGTCGGTGCTGGTGTCGGTGCTGGTGTTGGTGCTGATGTCGGTGCCGGTGCCGGTGTGCGTACGACGAATACATATTTTCTATAGCATGACCTACAGAGTGACTTTCAATTATATTAGATGCTGCAGTTTAACGTCGGCCGAGATGACATCACTTCTAGTATCGCGCGCACGCACTCAACTGATTTTCAGTAAAAGCGTTTGTTTCGAATTAATTGCACAATATAAAGTAGAACCTTGTTAAGACAATCATGCTTTATACGATTTTTCGAACTTAACTTGACTAGTAACTTCCCCTGCCACAGTTCCTGCACTTTGAAACATATTTCTTAATGGTCGATAGATAAAAATAAAATCACAAATAATAAATCAAACTCAGTGTTTCTGAGCTCCAATTACTACTTAGGTACTATTTTAGAGAATAGAGATATAGGAAAGTTTGATAAATGAGAAAAAGTTTTACTGCTATCAGATCGCTGATACGTGGACAGAAATTATCATAAAATTGTTGCAAAAATACGAACCACGAATTTATTTTTTAAATTCAAGCCGTGGTAAGTTAATATTTTTTTTTAAATTATCATGATGGTAAAGCAATTAAATATTTTTCTATTTTCATATTTTCCTATCAATTATTTTAACAGTTTATTTTTAAGTTTTTTATCAGCACAATTATTTTCCTTTTTTTTACATGATATTTAAAAATTTTATGCAATGGATATTTAAAGGATTTTTTACAGTCAGAAGAAACTCGAGACATATCGTCCTATTTTGAATACTGAACATTCTATTATCGTGCTTAAAACAAACAGTCTCATTATTATAAGTGTTTTGTGTTTTTCACACGTTTTCAAATTCTCAATTTTTAAGGGATCGTGTTAACGGAATTTTATTGTAGTTGAATTTTTGCACCGACTAATAATATTCGGAAATTTCAAAATTTTATATCACATAGCATATTGTCATTGGACTAATTGTAAGTGCGATGTAATACAATGTCCGTAATCGTTCCAGGTGTGTATGTGCGCTTCGCGGCATTATTAATCTTGTCCGCGGTCTGATATTGAAGTCGACGTTATACAATATGTATATAAATATAAATTGTGCTTTAGCATTGTGCCTTTTGCCGACGGCTTCAGACAACTCAATCAAACGTAAGGTTATTGTTAATATTTTAGTTTTCAGTCAATGAAATGCTATTCACAAACTTGAAATATTATGAGGCCAATTCTCGGATAAAATACAAATGTTATGGTGATGCAATATTGAGGGACTACGTATGAGTTAGTAGCATCCAACTGTCAAAAATCTATGTATTTGCGGTGCGATCAGGCGTTTTTCACATAAAGCCCAACTCCACGTATGTATTGTCATTGAGACATCAAAAGTTGTACTTATGATAAAATTGTTATTTGACGTTTGTGCGTTTTGTAGGTTAAGTTATACGTGTAAAACGTCTGATCGCACAGCAAATACCAACTCATACGAACATAGACCCGTAACATAGAATCACCATAATCACCATTTCTATTTTATCCGAGACTTGGCCCCTAAATTAGTTTCTTCCTTTAAAGTCTAATATTCGAATTGTGATTTATATTTATAAACTGTACAAATGTTACCGTTAAGAATAATCAATCAATAATTAATACTACGTTTACGCATCATATGTCTCTTATTTATAATGTTTCTTTTCTCTATTTTATGGTCTATCTTATCTCCAGCAATATAATATGTGAGTATTAAGGACGTTCTGATGATTGGGCATTACATCAATAAAAATGTATTCATGTAATTTTTATTGATATAATGATACAATAATTTTCTATTTATGTAACGCCTGATCATTTGCACTCAACATACATATACATCGTACACATATATACAATTATCTTCTATATATATAAAAATAAGTCGGGTTTTCCTTCCTGACGAAATAACTTCAGAACGCACGAACCGATTTCGACAATTTTGCATTCGTTGGAAAGGTCTCGGACTCCGCAAGGTTTATAGCTAAGAAAATTAGTGGTGCGTGGCATCGTGCCCTAATGCAAATTGCTGGAACTTCACGCACCGTAATTAAAAATTCGAGTATTAAAAATAATCAATAATTGCAATTGTTTAAAATAATTGCAAATAGATTATCTTCTATATATATAAAAATAAGTCGGGTTTTCTTTCCTGATCAAATTTTTCCTTTTCAAATATAAAACAAACAAAAAATTTCTTCATCTTTCTCACGAAACCATCTGGTGGCGAAACGGAGTTCGTCGGGTTTGCTAGTATAATTATAGAAATAATAATAATAACATGAATCCTTTTCATCTCTAATATCATTAATATTTTTTATAATATTTTAACGTAAGTAATTCCAGTATAAATTAAGAAGTCTAAATATCTTGCAAATGTGCGAATGTGCGTCGAGAATCGTCCGCGACGCGATTCCTGCAGAAGGCACAACGCAAAACGCATAACGCACATCGTACGGCTCACGGGCCCGGTGGGGCTCTGAAAATGAGGAAATGAATCAATTGCGATCATTGTTACTTGAACTCGAACACTCGAAGCAATGTTACAGATCGCGAGTTCAAAGAACATCTGAGCCAGATGTTTTACGACTATTGCTTTAAGCAAAAAAGAAAAAATAATAATATTCTGAATTGAATGAAATAAAGACACAATAATTAACAAAATACTTCTTGGCTAATAACTAGATCATAATGTCTAAATAAATTTCCGATCTACATATATAATTACTCTTCACACTAATTAGGGAGTGTCCATTAATTCGTGAGGTTTTTAGGGGGAGAGGAAATTCGACAAAAAATCACCAAATATCAATTGGGGGATATGTACCCTTATAATCTAATAAGGATTTTATGATGCATATTTATATATTTTAAATTTATAGTATAATTGCATCTAGAAGCGTAGCTATGATTTTAAAATCTTGGAGAGCATAGGACTTGCAAATATTGTATAATTTACAGAATATAAGTTATTATCAGTTATCACATACCTCTTGCAAATTATTCAAAGCCGTCCACGGGTAGTCTTCCAATGATATTTTTCAATGTTTCAGAATTTTATAAACGGCATGAAATGTTTCTTCGTATATTCGAAGAACGAAAATAGCGTTGAACGATTTTTGAAAATTTCGCGCAAATTAAATTTTTGTTTGAAAATTAAATGTTTAACTTTATTTCGTTTCAGGATGGGCCGATGGAGCCGATGTCTGTCAGCCCTGATTCTGGTTTTGGCGCTCGGGCCCTACAGTTCGGATGCGTGCTCCTGTATGCCGATGCATCCTCAGGAACAATTCTGCAAAGCCGACTACGGTAATAAAATAATCTGTTTTTATTCAAACAATTCAAAATTTGAAGAAGTTATCCACGAGATATAGAACTGTATAGAGATATAAAACTAATGAATAAATTTGAATTCGAAATCATCTCAAACACAAAAAATATGCAAGTAAGCAAAAAATTATCCACTTCTATTGAGAAATATCGGAAATGGAAATTGTGTAAGGTAGTTTGCTGTAAATTTCCGTTTAAAGAATGAACATTAGGGAAATATAACTAATAATGATTTAGTGTTTAAATTCCACTTAAACATGGTACGGTATTACCATGTTGGTTTTAAATGTAAATAATTTAACTTTTAGTTCAATGTTTATATATTGGTGCGGAACACAAAATTTAAAAAAAAGAAATTAAATGTTTCTTACGAGTATGACGTTCGATATCATTAGGTAGTTACAATAATTCATTCAAAATAAATTATTAAAAATGTTAATGAATAGGTTTTCTGCGGCAAATAATAAACATACAAAGTGGAGTAAAACACTTTTATAATAAGATTATAACAGCAAAAAAAATTTTTTTTGTATAACACGCAAACCGGTAATACGGCTGTTCATGAGCGTGACTCATAAATGCCACACAATGTGTTTACAAGTTTAATGCTAATAATATGTAAAAAATACAATAAAATTTGATATTTTTCAAGTAATGTAATTGTAAATAAATGAGAAATCTATAACACTTGGAACGTCTGTTGAGGATGAACACGGTATAATCTCATTTGAAATTTAAAGTAAACGGAAGAAAATATTTAAATAAGTTGTAACTATCATGTTTCATATATACCTATGTAATATTTTTGTTCTTGTTAATCTAAATTATATTAGCAATGGTAAATAATTTTTTTATTGATTAAAATATTTTATTTTTCAGTGATCGTGGCGCGGGTTATGAAAAGGCATTTCACCCATAGCAATGATCAAGTAGTTTACAAGCTCCAAATACTGCAAGAATACAAGGTGTGTACGTAAATCTAGTTTTATGTATCGTAAATATAAATTAATTCGTAATAGTATGAGTAGAGAACCGAAAAGCAAAAATCTATCTCATCGGCGCATCGACACCCAAGAAAGATAAATATGATCCAAGAGGATTGTGTAACAATTCAAGCTTGATTATATAAGATTTTGCAGAAAATCCACAAACCAGCATTTCTAAAAATGCAAGGCTTACTAGGAACTGGAAGTTAGGTTTAATGAACTTGTTGCGTTGCTATAAGAATGTTCTTACAATTAGAGGAGATGTTTGGAAATGGTTTTAATCTATTCGAAAGAACGAATATTGCACTAAGGGCAGATTAATGAATCAGTGAACGTTTACAAAGTTCTTGGAAACGTATCATCTTGCGTAAAATGATGTGAAAATTGCTCAAATTGTTGAGCAAGGCAATGTAGATTTTCCCAGGAGCACAATGATAACTATTTACAGTTTTTCTTCTCTTAGTGTGTTTTATTTGATATCGTTCATTCGCATATAGATCAGACTTCTCAGGAAACGAATCATGAATTAAAATTTTCTTCTTGATTGTAATCAACACTTTGGCATTAATATTTATTATTCCTTATCCATTTCATATTGTCATTACTTGTTTTTGTCATTGAAAAATATCGAGTGTTATTAACCGTGTTTATAATTCAGATGTCGGAGAAAGCTCCGCACTATTTGAAGTCCGGCCGATTGGTGAGCTCCAGCTCGGACAGTATGTGCGGTGTCCAGCTGCAGGTTGGCGAAACTTACGTGATTATGGGAAGGAACCGATCACTTCTGTCGTTGTGCGACTTCTATAGGCCTTATAGAAGTCTCACGACCGTCATGAAGCGAGGCATTCTAGGGATGTACGCGAAGGGCTGCCAATGTCCGGTAAGATCAACGATTTTTGTCGTTCCCTGCTCAGCATTGTTCTTCTTTTTGCACAATCCCATCCATTTATTAACATCGACCGAGAACAATTGAAAATTGAGAAATGCCTCATTGAGTTCTTATTCTATCTACCGTGAAAATGTAAATAAGATATCATTCCTTCAAATTAAAGCTGAGCATAACTCGCGTAAATAAAGTTGCATATATATATATATACTATTTACCATTTTGTTCAACTTACATATATCGTCATACTGAATAAGCAGTTTTGTTTATATGTTTTTATTATTCATCAATTTATTGCTTGCCTTTTTTGGGTCTTCTTTTCTCAGAGAAGATGAAGCTTTCATGAAATATAGCAGTTGAGATGTCCGTGTATTATGTTTCGTTGAAGTACAATTAATTTGCTTGATAATTTTTGGAGTTACAATTCGTTTTTTGTCTTTATCGTGAAATATATTGAAACATTCAATAATTTGTGATATAGACAACTTCATCTCAACTTCATTTTTCTTTGATACAGATCATCACTGACTGTCGAGAGTGAGAAATATATGTAGTGGAACGAAATGGAAATCGAAATTGAAAGCGCTATTTGTAATTAACATTTAGATGTTAATGAGTTTTAATTCCTAAGATAACGTTTATCAGAACGATAATAATAAGAACTCCCTATGCATTTAAATAGGTTACATCACATATGAAGATTACGAAATATTTTTATTACTTCCATATGTTTCGACTTATGATCCTATGTCATCTTCAGTAAACTGGAGTAACTCTAACTATCTTCAATCACCTATTCACAATTGTACAACCAACTGGTTGTTGTTAAGTAAATAATATAGATTGAATATTGAAAAGCAAGTTATGAGTATGACATGGTTGAATCACTGCCCATCCGAGACGAATCATTCGTCTGTAACCTATGAAAATAATTAAAATTCTTTTAAACATCTCTATTTTTTTTGACGTATTGCCTTAAAGAATTAAATTCACATATTTTAATAGCAAGTTATAAAAAATCTATGTGTATCATAACCACTTTTTTTAGTATAATTCTGAATTTGGTGTTGACATATGTATTGACAGAGTTTAATAATCGGGCATATCATCAATAAACGCCGTGAATTTCTTTGAAAATGTATTCTAAAATTCAAACGTTCCGGCTATAGTCCCAGCCTTCATTCATTAACTTCCCGTAGGGTAAGTTATAGTAATCGCAAAAAAATCGAAAATGAAAATTTTTGCATTTCTCGACGTTTCAAAGGTTTCTGAATATTTTGGCATACCTTAGAAAAAATGGATGTATGTGTGTGTGTGTGTGTGTGTGTGTGTGTGTGTGTGTGTGTGCGTGTGTGTGTATGTATGTGCGGATACAAATTTTCGTCGACGATTTCGGGAACACCGATCAACCGATTTGATTAATTCAAAAAACATTCGATTCGTATTGATAAGGAGACGTGCTGATTAGTTTTTGGCGAAGTCAGGTCTAGCCGTTCCGAAGATACGGGGCAAAAAGTGCCGAAAACGGTAACTCAGTTTTTAAGAGAACGGAGCGTCCGATTTTAATAATTCAAAAAACGTTTTACTTGTATTGACAAGGTGAAATACCGATCAAATTTTCATAAAGGCAGGTCTAGCGGTTTCGGAGATCTAATGAAAAAAGTAAAAAAAAATGCCATTTGGCGGTCAAAAATGATCATTAGACATATGCACATCAAATTATCAGATATTTTATAGAGATTTTAACAATAAGTATAATTTTGGTTTACATTCCTATGGGTTCCGTACCAATGTTTACGCGTTAGACGTCGACGCGGAGCTTACGCGGTTTGATATTTCGTCTTTATGCAGTTAAAGCAGTACGATTGCTTTGAAAAAAAGTTTAGATCTTTCAAAATATGTCAAAATAAAGAAAAAATTTTTTTTTCAAAAAAAAAAATTAAAAAAAAAAATTAAAAAAATTTTTTTTTTCAAAAAAAAGTAATTTTTTGTCTAATTGTTTGTCAAAAATCTTATTTTTTTTAAGTAATTTTTTTTCAAAAATGCTAATCGTTTTTAAAAAAATAATTTTTGGTACGGGAAGTTCCAGCAATTTGCCTTAGGGCACGATGCCTTAATTGCCTTAAGACAGAATTCCACTCACAGCTAGTTGGGACTAAAATGAAATGTTTAATTTGTTAATTCGTCAGATCAAGACCCTGATGCGCGCAACGAACGAGAGCAACCGCCTCGCCTTCGATTCGTGCAAGTGGAACTTCCTGAGCGGCAACTGCGAGGGCGACTATGGCATCTGCATTCGGCGCGAGGACCAAATCTCGGGACGGGTCACCTGCCACTGGCGACGAAATTCCTTCTATAAAAAGTGCAAGGCTCTTCAGAGCTATCCAGATCCGTGAACTACGTCTATCGAACGATAAATGATCAACTGGTAATTATAAATACTTCTTCATCGTGGGCAAGCAAAATATATTATTGAAAATCGAACCGGGGCTCAGTTGGAAGGTCTTTAGTTAAAGAGCCTTTATCGCAACAAAATTATTGGCGTATGTCGGTGGATTAAAATAAATTGTTTGCGTCAACATTTTATTCTTAAATCACATTTTATGTAAAATTCTGTAAAATTATGTAAAAAAAGTAAACCCTTTTATTTAAAATTTTTAACTTACTCGTTACACGTTGAGTTTATTTTACGGACAATTACGGACTCGGATTGATCCAAATGTAAAACCAGTTCATAGCTTTAAATTAAGTTATTTTTGGTTGCAACCATTCCCAAAAAATGAGGGTAATTACTTTAATTTTATTAAAATAAATTAAGTAATATATTAAATTTATTACAATAAGATTATAATTTATTTATATTTATATATGTTGGTGCGTGTGTAAATATATACATATATAATTATATATACATATATAATATATATATATATATGTGTGTGTGTATGTATGTGTGTGCGTAGTTTTCGAAACTGAACAATCGTTTCACATATGTTATAATTGATAAGTGCAAATTTGAAATACGAGAGTTCATTCTATGAGCATTCGTTTAAAATTTATTTTACAGACCTAAAAATGGCACAAAACGTGATTTCATTGTTATTATTATTATTTTAAATCTAGTATAAAGTTAAAATGTATGAGGCCAACAATTTCGTTTAATACAAAAAACTACATGATGAATTAATTATTTTAGAAATGTTTAATTAGTCTTTTGAATATCTCTTTAATCACCCATAGATAATATTTTTTTTAATTTATAGGCTTAATAAGCAACGTATGCAAATTATGAACATCTTTATTTATTTTAGAACCTTATATGGTTATTATAAAATAGTCTCTTTCCTATCATAATTTTCGTTTTATTAATCGCGGAAGTACGCCCTATTTTTCGTGTATGTTTAATTTTTTTAGAATATTTATATGGTTATATATTTATATATTTATATATTTATAAATTTATATATTTATATATTTATATGTATATGTAATTTTGTTATGGGATAAATGACCTTACCAAGAACCAAAGTGCTATCGCAGGAGTTTAATTTCTTGGAAATTAGCATAAGTTGCTTATTTTATATTAGCGTATGTACGATTCAGCGTTGAAACGTAATTTAATCTAAATTTCATAAAATGTAGTTGACTTTCATTGAAAGGTTTTTCAGACTATAAAATTATATCATTATATATTGTGAGAATATCCTAATATATAAAAAATAATATTGATTTATAATAATATTAATTCAAAGAAAATAATAATATTGTTGTTAGAAAATTGTTTATAGCTACTAATGATGGTATAATATGTTGAAACGAATAGAAAAATAAATTTTCTATAAAATCATTTCCTATTTTACTTGATGCTATTTATGACTTCTAAGAGTTTATTGATATACTGGATTTTTATTTAAATATAACTTTTATATAATTACATCAGTGATCATTTCGTTATTTTGAAGTCTCAATTTTAAAACTTGAATTGTGACTTGAACTAGCGAAAAAATATTCTTTTAGCGATTGATCGGCACGTGATTAGACTTCATCTATTAATAGTATATTGTGTTACACTTATTGCTTTTGTTAATTATTTTATATTATTAATTTAAGGTTAATTCTAATTATTGAACTATTCTTAAAGTACAAATATAAATTATATTGAAATTACAAGATGTGGTATAGCTTAAGTTAGAAAATGCTTAAATGTTATTATATTTGATCCATATAATAAAATATATTTATGATAAATTCTGGTAGAATATCATTTTGTAGCATTATTAATATTAATGGCTCGCCCGTAAGTAAGCGGTTAAGAGCTACGGGACTTGTTTCAGAGGTCCCGGGTTCGATAGCCACTTTGAGCAGCCTGTTGTCAGGCAACATTGACAACGATTTTCACTTGAAAATATAGATAGCAATATGTTTCCAAGTGAAAATAGCCCTCACCCGGCATTGCTGTACCATAGTCGCCCTATTACAGAAATTGTAATAATAATTTATCATACAGAGATGTGACAACTGTTTGGGTTGCCATCTGTCAAACAGTCTAGTATTAAGTCAAATCAGCAAAACAGCTTATAGGTTCAAAAATAATAAAAAAAAAAAAAAAAAAAAAATTAATGTCGTTAATATTAATGCAATTAAAAAAAATATAGCATATATTTGCAGACAAATACGTATTGATTGCATTTTCGGGCAAATGACGTTGTTGCATGCTGTATGGATTGTGACCAATATTTTTATATATACACATATATATATATATATATATATATATATATATATATGTGCAGTATAATATCGACTCACCATTTCGCGATGATTTGGGTAATAAGTTTGCTCGATCAGGGGAAAATTTTCACGTCCGAGGCGTCTTTGGAGTTGCATCAGGTGCGCGAAAACCCACGGCCGGTCCTGAAAATTAAATTTGGAACTGATATATTTTCATTCAAATAGTTTGACTTTAAGGAAAAATTCATACAACTGCATTTCAAATATTTACTTTTATAATTTATGATATTTAATGGAATATATTTATCGTAGAAGATTAATTTATCATTTAAATTAAATTATTATTAAGTTTTATTTCAGATGAAAGAAATTGGAAATTTTTATTAAAGTTTAAATGTCATAGTTTTGCAATTATGAACAAGTAAATAATCATTGCCTTATGTTTATCCCTTCAGTTCCAGAATCATTGAAGAATTATTTACAAAGCTGATTAACGACAATGTGAAACTATAATTTTGTGAGCGTTTCTTCAAAACAGTGACGTCTACTAATATTATTAATTTGTTAAAATGATGGATGTCATTTTCTCTTGGTCCCAACTAACCTGGAAGTTGTAGATGGAAGATAGCGAGTTGACGCTCGGAACGCCGCCGTATTTCAGACCGAGAAGAAGGCTGCGATTGTCCTCGGAGGCGTCGCGAAGATTTTGACGAATTAGAACGAAATCCGGCCTAAATGAACGCATCACCTTGGTACCGCTCCGATACACCGCCATCGAGACAGTGCATCCTTGCTCGCCGCTCGCGATCAACGAGAGTTCCTGGAATAAATAGTAAGGAAACATTTTATAATCATATTTGTATTAAGAGATGTAAACTCAACTATAAATTTTGATTTAAGGCTAGCTTCTTGAACTTTCTGATATATTCACTTCTTGTTCCATATCGCTGTTGTGACGTCGCAAAAATTACAAGCCATTATTGAGTAAATTTAAACTGTTGAATGAAAAATATGTTTTCACGCCCAAACATACACTCACACACATTTTTACTCTTGTTTTTTGCTACACGAAGAAAACATAAAATTAACAACTCGAATTTCTAGCCAAACTCTGTGACAAACGGATTTTCTTTATTTTTATTTTATTATATATAGTTATATATAAATGGATTTATATATAGTTACTAAATATATTTATATTTTATTTTCACCTTGAATTCTGCTTGCTCCACTCGAATATCATAATCATTATGTAGTTTTTTTCCACGGAAATACTTTGACCAATCCGTGTTCTGATCATCGATAACTAGTAAAGTAAAGGATCGATCTTTATTGAATGATGGTCTAGTTGCACTCTGAACAGCTGCGCCTGTAATAATTGAAATTAATTGCACGTCATTGAAATTGGCTCAAAAATGCAATTTCACCGATTGTTGTATTAAATATTACCTAAGATGGATGCACCTTGGTCTCGTGCCGCTCCTGTTAAACTTTGTACGCGTTGCAGCAGACTCTCACGACTCTTCGCCGGGCTACTTGGCGCGCTGGTGCCTCGTGGGGGACCTCTTAAGTTCAGAGACAATTCTCCGCCGCTTTGCTGGGCTATTATTTATAATAATATTCGTATTATTATAGCGTTTATTATAATATTATGGTAAATAGATGCTAGAATATTCTTGAAAATGTAAAGAAAATTTTGATATTAAATTTTGAATAAATTGTAAGCTATATTAGATAGTTATTGATGTTGTATAGTTATAAAATCATTTTATTATATTGTTGTTGCTTATTGTAATCATCGAACAGTGTTCAAACGAAGATCGAACAGAAATTACTCATTTTAAACCATGAATACAGATGCGATCATTATTGATGCTCGAACGATTTTGTGTGCTCGACCTGACCTTGGGCCGTGTTGGGATTCGGCGGTTGCGATGGCATCGGCTGGCTCTGCAGCGGAGGCGCCTGCTGACCCATCTTGGGTACGGGTTGGGCTCCGGGCGGAATCGGCTGTCCTGTGTAAGGGTCTACGACGGCATCGCCGTCGTCGCACTCTGAGGATAAATCCCCAGAGCTGAAGCTACAAAAATGAGTTGAGAAATATGTATATATAGTAATAAATACTAAAACTCAAATTGTCAGTATAAACTAATTTATAATAATTGTTTTTGAGTTAAATAACTGACAATAGATGATAAATATAGTTGATATCAACAAAATAATCATTTGTAAATATTTCAAAATATGATTTTATAGACACTTTTAGAATTCTTACCGCCTTTTCAAGTAATTGACATTATTGGTGAATGAGTTGCGGAAGCTTGAGAATGACAGCGCTGGGCCGGGCGGCTCCGCTGGTTGACAGATGCGACCGCACCCGCTTCGGGAAATATTGAGGCCGGAATAGGCGATTGCAGGAAGACTTTCTGTCACTAGTCGAGAGCGGTTACCTTTGGTTACCAATATCCGTTAATTAAGTCGAATCGTAGACCTTAACAGGCTTGACGCAATTATTCCGCGAAGATGCAGGCAGTCAAATTCAATCGGGAGACAGTAAGAATTTACAGGATAATTGCAGCTAGTAACTGAAAATTAGAAGATGATTGAAATATTATTGATAATGTTTTTTTCCTTTCTACATCGTTCCATTCTTGATGTGTTTCTATGTACTTAAACTTTATATATTTACTTCTTTAAAATTCTTCTAGCAGCATAGATTTTTACAAACTACATATAGTAATGCTTATATAAACAGCACAATTCTTTTGAATGCACGCGAGTTGCGAGTGTACTGGTTTTGTACATACTATAAAAAATCATTATTTTTTTCATTAAAATCACATTTCGTAAATTTTCATAGTGGCTTCGCCTTAGAATATTTTAACTTTTGTCCTTTGACCTCTACCGGAATAATTTTGTTGAATGCTTTCTCGTAAGCACGCACACAACTCGAATGAATAATATTCAGAACATTGAGAGCAATCTGAATTGGAATCTTTACCAGATATCGATCGGCCAAGGCAATGTGTTTACAGATCATATTATTGAAGGTACTGTTATTTTAGGAAATTGATTTTCCAGGATCGGAATTTTTTGTGGAAGAGGTTTCGAGAAAGTCTTTTTGCAGCTTAACGACTTTAAAATGCTTAGTCGACACTATATGCATATGGAAAAACTATTAAGTACTGATTGCTATTAATAATATAGGCAATATAGTGAACATGGTTATTCTATTTATGAATGTAATATATAATTGTGTATATGTATATATAGTAAGAATGGAGGTTTAGTTGCTGCGATGTGTAAAGGCAACAGTGAATACTACAACATTATTTGATACATTTATTCAAAGTAGATACGAGAATATTCTACAAGAAATTGAATAAAATGATATCTTTGAAATAAAATATTTTGTAATAATGTTCTATCTAAAATATTCCGTAGCTAAAAATACTTTCTTTGGAGGCCATGTAGACATCGAAAGTAGCGAGTAGAATGGGAAGAACATATTGATAGAAAACTCAAAAGGAGAAATAGACAACTGTGAAGTGGACGTAGCGAGATTGAGCCAGTTTAGATGGCAGAAACAGGATGAAATCACATCGGCCAGTTAACTGGCCGCAGAAACAATCTCATGATCACAAACATGTAGTTCGAGAAGTCGAAGAAAACGATGTAAACGTGGAAGGACATTTAGCCTTTTGCAGGGGCTGCTATCAACTCTGATAGAGTAATTATAATTTGAAAGCAGAGATGGAATCTGGAGAAGTAATAAATTTGAAAGGCGAGAGAGTTAGAGATAAAAGATAATCAAAAGATTATGAAAAATGATTAGACAAAATACATTTCTCAAATTTATGTAATATAACATCGACAAGTTATTGGAATTTACATCTACTTATAATAAATTATTCACATTTCATGCAATTGCCTTGGTGCATATTGGTCCAATATATTAATTTTCAATTGTTTTAAATTTATTAACCTAATTTTCTAAATTGATGTAAGTTGTGACGATGCGTGGTACATATATCATATTTTGCAAAATATTATATAAAAATATACGGAACTCTATCTTTAGAATTTTTTAATCAGAACAAAATTAAAATTCATCGAAATTCAAGAATTTAAAGATGTGATATCTATAATTCTTGTATGTATAAGTATTAACTTATATTTTCAAATTTTCTGTATTTTTTTCAAGAAAAATCGTAACAGACTGACTAATAATTAATAATTCAAAATATTTTGTATATTCAAAATTTAAAGAGCAAGACATTAAAATTAAATTAAATTTATTTTATGTTTATAGTTATTTATATAACTTGATTTTCATATTTAACGTTTATTAGGAATGTTAGAGTACCCAAAATTTAGAAACCGTTTTAATTAATTCAAAACTAGAAATATTTCTTTGTGAGATACCACGCTTAGGTATAACCAAGTTATTATAAAGATATATCATTTGGAAATGTGTTCATTATCTTTAGCAAAGAAAGCTCACATTGCAATATGTAGTTAAGTCACACAAAATGTTACAATTAAAAAAGTTACAAAATTCTTGTTGATTCTACTCGACTATTTTTAAAGTTTTAGGCATCTCCAAATTATGAGTATTAAGTTAATTGCAATAACTTTCTTAATTCATTTATAGTGAAAATTTTATTTCAAAATGCCTGACTACGCATGATTGCGACCATTAAATCGTTTTAATTGTTAGTAATAATCCAGGGCGTAGGCATCTATGGGATTGTAAAGTTTTGTTTAAAGCAAAGCGTATTCAACAAAAATAATATTTAAGAAAACTGTTGTTGCTTAAAAACGTTATAATTGAGTTCATAAATTGCCTTCTTGCCGGTTGCAAATATAAAGAAATTAAAAAAAATACAAAAATAAACAGTAATATTTAAATGAATATATTTAAATTACCTGTAGAACAACTAAATATATGGCGATTTTTGTTTTCTCTTTCTATTCATAATTTATCCATGTGCATGTTGATCAATGGTTACGTAACGCTCTAAAGTATAGAATTTTAACGCCTTAAAACGTTGGAAAATATAAATAAAAAATGTTATTACTTATTTTTTTGTAATAGTTTAATTATGAACATTTAATAATAATCATAATTGTTAAATAATTACGGAATTATACTTTACAATAACGTTAAAAAAAAGAATGTTACATGAATAGTTTAGTACTTTTGTAAAATAATTATTGATAATTCTATTAATTAAATATAATTAATTCGTATTGGTATTTTTAAAAATATAGAATCTTATAATAATCGAATTATTTATATTCTACATGCAGTTTCTAAATATGCATAAAAAATGTACTACAATCGATTTGAAAAAAAAGCCAGATTTTATCACGTTATTGTTACTGTAGAGTAAATTATCAATACCTGTTAAACAAAAAAAGCTTCCATAACTGTTGCGCCAAGTTTCTATGAAAACATACCTTATTTAAATTTCACAAGAAGCTTATCGACATCAGTTGCACTAAAAGAAACAGTATAATTGCACAAAAACATACCGCACTTTCGTCACATTCAGGAATCAATAGCACAGCAATGAATGAAACTTTAATATTTTAGCAAGTAGTATATTTCGTTTGTTTTACAATTGTATTTGCACTATAACCCTGTGTGAATTTGTTGCGTATTGTGGAAATTTCGGTGCGTATGAAATAAATGCGTAAGTTAGTATGTTGATTTGAATACTTACTGGAAATACAACGCCCGTCGTCCGATACAAATGATGGAAGTACAATGCCTGTGCTACGACTGACCTATGGTTGGTGTTGGAGTTCGCGTAGATGCTCAGGGGGTGCTACGCTATGGCTACGCTACGTGTGGAGCGCGTGCGAACCGACAGCACAGTAGAGCACAGTACAGCACAGCACTCGCGCCACGCTGATCGATCGATACGATTATCGCACTAGTGCACACTTTCACCGATGTCGGCCGTTGCTCCAACTTGTAATGTAACTATACATTTCAGTATTTCAGTTACGGTAGAGTATGACCGATGCGAAAATTTTGATTATATACCAACAACGGTTCGGATATATCATCAATTTAAAAGCTACGATGCGGTATTGCAATATATTTGATAGTAAAGTATAATATAGAAATGATTAGTTAGCATCAATACGGCGTCTACTTCCTTTTAATGGTAATTAAATGTAATGAGTCCATTAAGAAATGATCGATAGGTTCCGTTTCGGATAAAGGTGGCTAACCGGCGTGGTGCCGCATGTCGCGCGTAGTCGCACGGCGGCACTTTCCCGGCGCCTGCGTTGCTACACTTACTCTATTGATCGACTTTATTCAACTCTATAGTAAATCAATGATGCAATTGCAGACATTCGCCACCAGATTTTCGGTACGAATGTATGAATGTATGAATGTTCTTTTTCGAAATCGTCATTGCAGATACATTGTTCACCTTTGAGCCCTTACTAGAATGATGTTGAATTTGTCATTCACAGTCCACACTTGTAGTAAATAACTACAATCATGAAGGGACTTGTCCTCTCATGGATAGAAGTTCAATAAAATAAAACCTATAAACCAAAGGTTTATTTTATTTTTATTTGAACAGTAATCAAAACTTAAGTGGACTATGTTATTACTTTGTTATATTTCTATGACGAATTTTATTATAACAATTTTTGTAATAGTGATGATTTTTTTTATTGATGCGGCAATGCCGGATAAGAGCTATTTTACTTGGAAACATATTGCTGTGTCGGTTCCAAGTGAAAACCGATGTAAGTACTGCTTGACATCAGGCTTTCTGAAGTGGGTATCGCACCTGGGACCTCTGATTCAAATTTCATAGCTCTAATCACTAATCTACGAGCGACCCCAAACCAAACTTTGATTTCAAAAATCACCTAATCACACTAATTGTACAGATATTAAACATAAAACTGAAACTATAGAACTATATCGTTATCAAAATGTCATGTTCCAAAATTTAACAACAAAATTGTACAATTTTTAAATATATTTGAAACTTCTATATATATATATATATATATATATATATATATATATATTAATTTTTAAATATATTTTGAAACTTCTATATATATATATATATATATATATATATATATATATTGTGATAAGGTTTTTCAGCCACAGGTCGAAAAAATAAAAACAGAACGTAAATATAAAATCTTCTTTAATACGTTTCGAGCTATTGTACTAGCTCATCATGATTCAGCAAACCAGTTTAAAATTATTTTATACAAAATTTGACAATTCAATAAAAATAATATAATATAATATAAAATGATTTTAAACTGGTTTGCTGAATGATGAGCTAGTACAATAGCTCGAAACGTATTAAAGAAGATTTTATATTTACGTTCTGTTTTTATTTTTTCGACTTGTGGCTGAAAAACCTTATCACAATATGTTTCAAAGTCGAAATAAACAAAATCATATATATATATATATATATATATATATATATATATATTGATGATCTAAAAGCTTCCTTTTGTAAACTTAATATAAATTAAAAAACTGGATCCATTAAATTAAAAAAAGTAACTGCATCCATTCGACTATTACAAAAACTTCAAAATTATATTTCTTTTTTCACTGCACAACACAACTCATATAGAAAAAACACAAAAATCATAAGATTTGAACAAAACACGGGTTTAACATCAAATTTATAAAATAGAATATTGAGTCTTGAATAGAATTTGAGTCTTTTATATCCATGTTTTAGCCATGTTTTTTAACCTTTGCATGCAATGAAATAGTTGATTATTTAGTTTACTTATTCGTGTTTTTTTCTGGTGTTGCTCTTATTTTAAAACAATGCTTCTTCAAATGTCCTTTGTGAGCGAAATGTTCTTTTATTTCACTTTCCATGCAATGAAAATAGTTAATTAATTAAATATTTGTGTTATATATGTATTATGAATGAGTTCGTTCATATTTGATTTAAATATATTCGGTATGATGCCGTCAAAGTGGTACTACATAAAATATAAAAGTAGATCTTGAAGTGCGGTACAGCGCACAGTTCAAAGCATACAGTATCACCAATCTAGAGAAATCTTAATCTATTTAGAGAGTGCTTATTTTATTTATCTGTGAGAGTATGTTACCCTAAACCCTAGACCCTAGACCCTAGACCATAATAGGTTAATAGGTTTATATTGTCTTATATTGTTTTATATATGTCTAGGGGTTTAATGTTACCATAAAAGGATGACAGTTGGTTTTTGATTATTTTTTAAATGTTTTTTTTTGCAATTGAGGTTAAGTTGATTTTGCCCTTTTCATGAAATAAAATTCAGTGATATTACCAATAACAATGTTTAATAAATCTGTCAAAGTGAAATCAAACAATCAAGTGAAAGCCTCTGAGAGGTATGATTTGAAATTATTCAAAAATGTTTTACATAAACGTCTGACAATTCCATTGATTTCCAGGAAAAATATCAAAGCCAAAGTCCATTCGTGTTTTCCTGATATCAGCGAAGTTGATTTAAACATTTTATTGCCAAACAAACCAATTAATGTTTTAAAAGTTCTCACTCACAATTCTGTTGATGTTATTGTTTACGCTGTAGAGAAACGTGTTGTATTTTTTGAAATAGAAAAGGTTCTTTACCCGTCTATTTATACACTATGGAAACATCCAGATATTTTACTTTCGTTCACTACTCACGTTCCGGTGCTTTCTAAGTTGATGCAGGGTGCTGATTTGATGATTCCTGGAGTTGTCTTGCCTGAGAATATTGAAGGTATAATAAAAAATGATAATGATAATATGAATGCAATGATTCGATTCTTAATATGTATGAAGAAATAATGTACATGGTTGACTAATTATACATCAAAATTATATTTAGCATGTTCTTATGTAATATTGTTCTGTATGTAGCAGAGGAATAAATGAATAATGTTTTTTTTTGTAGGTCCAGCAGCATGGGGTAAATTTGAGAAGGACCAAATAGTTTCTATAAATTTAACCAATAATAAAGCATCAATAGCAGTGGGCAAAACATGTCATTCTAGTATGGATATGTATATGGCTGCTGGCAGGTTAGTTTTATATGCAACATTATTTATATAAATTACATAGAATAAAATACTAATATTATTATCGTTTTTAGAGGTCGATGCATTGAAATTATTCATGTATTAGGAGATGAATTATGTAGTTTGTTAGCGCCTGCAATACCTACTCCAGATTTAGGGCACCAGGTCTAAAGTGTGAAATACTGATGTACAAAATGTTTGTGTTTATTTTTATTTAACTTTTATATATTACGTAAGTTGTATACATATATATAATTTTTCTTTCAGATAATTTTAGACAATATTAATCTTTCTACTGATAATCCAACAGAAAACAATATTGAAAATATTGCTCTTGTAGAAGCAAGTACGTCTGAACAGTGTGAATCTAAACATATGTCATCGGCTGATGTAGATGCATTATTAAGATATACATTTCTCAAATGTCTGAATACCGAAGGCAAAAAATTAACATTACCCATGTTGACAA